AAAAAAAAAAAAAAAAAAAAAATTGTACTTTTTTTTTTTTTGTTGTTGTTTTTTTTTTTAAATTGTACTTTTGACAATGCATTGCTCATAAGAAATTTACATAACATCATCAAACACCTGTTTTAAAATATAATATAAACAGTTTATTTGTATATTTCCTTATGTTTCCAGACTTGATGGTCACGTGGCAGTTCTTCCTGTCACTTAATCAGCCAGGAAGACTTAGGTCAAACTTTGGTTTCTTCAGTTACAAAATGAACTATGCCACCTGCCTTGCCTCCCATCCAGAGAGGATCAAATGGCTTAACATGAAATATACATGTCTGTCTTCACGAAGAGCAGAAACTGCACTTTAATACCCTCTCTAGATATTTCTCAGCCTTGTCCAATCTCTGGTCTCTTCATAAAACCTAGCAAGAGGCTCACTGACTCAGTACTGGCAAGGATAGTTACTCCCAGGACTGTAAAGTTGTTCAGTACAAACTACCAAATTTAAATTGAGTCACTGATAATAACTTGAAAAAATTTATTCCAAACTCTTACTTCTGTTTACATTGGTAAAGTACAATTTCTAACAGGAACATGATTTCGTATCCTCTGGAGGATGTGCAATCTAAAACGTTTTCCCAGGGATGGTCCAAGATCACATTTTCTCCTAGATGGGCCAGCAGCCACCTAACTTCCTTTATCCACTCTTGGCTGCTTTTCAGTGTGTTTCCATAGCAGGCAGAGAGGGACAGCCTCAATATAATCATCCCTGCTGTTCAACTTTTTAGTTGCTGACCACTGCAGCAACACATTCATGCCCTGCCTGGTCTGGCTTCTGCCACCTTCTCTGGATTCTTCTCAAACTTTTCTGCATACATTTTGCTGCAGCCCCAGACACATTTCTTTCTGGCTCATATTTTAGATCTCCACCTAGAGGTGCTTCTACGGAGAAGCCTTCCCAGACCCACCCTTCTCTGTGGTTAGTTTGCCTTGCTGTATGCTTCCTTAGCCTACAATTTCTCATGTCCTTAATGGTATTTATCATAGTTTAGACCTCTCCAACTTTTTGACTAAAGTCTTCTCTCTCCGACAAGTCAGAAGCTGTTCTAGGGCAGAGATCCTGTCTATTTCTCACTATTGAATCACCACGTAGACCAAATAGGAGGCTCAACTGCAGCATAAATGATTTTATGTCCATTTATACTTCTCTGCCAAATTTCCTTTATAATACATTACACACTTACCAGCCAGATGGTTTGAGTGTATACTTGGAGCTATTCTAAAAGTGTTTGGTGAAAGGTCAGCTGAAGGCACTAAATGGCTCAGGGAAGAACTGGGTATATTTGGAATTAAGAACAGATTTTCCAGGAAATTATTAGTATGGTTAGAAACTGTCCAACAAAAAAGGTTATTTTTATATCTCCACTTTTCTAAAGAGAAGAAAAACCTCCCAAAGCTTATCAGCACACAATCATGCATGGCTTAAATGGCCTTCTTTATGTCTTATGTTATTGGTTTTATGTGAATATATGTGATGACTCATTGTACCTCCTCTGTTTTCAAGTTTCATGCTTCTTGGATGGATCAAAACCACCATACACTGTCTGACCACAGAAGAGATTAGAGTCTTGTAGGCTTTTATTACCTTTTCTTCTGAGTCCCCTGGTTGACAGGTAATTACTCCATCTCTTGATCCTCCTGCAAATGTTGCTTTACAATTTGCAAGCCACTGTTTTCAGAAAAAGATAGACACAGATAAATTCAGGGATGTCTGAGAGCATTTGAAATATGAATTCTTTCAGGAAAAATTTATCATGCTTCTAACAGTGAAATAAAATTTTGCTATAATGTCTTTTAGGAAAAGATCACTTTTGGAGGTTAAAGATTAGCTGAAATTAAAATATCTGTTCAGGTTCAATGATGACATTATAAAATATAATTTCAATGCTGTGAGATTTCTCTAGTTCTACCAGACCATTCCTAATTTATACGTAAATGAAAATGAATACATATATGGCCAGGAGCCTTTTACATGATTATGATGATAAGGCTGTAAGTGAAAGGTCTCCTCCTCTGTAAAAAGGCTATTACAACAATACTCAGCTGTTTAGGGATTCTTCCAGTCTTAAGCATCTGGGATAGTAATATATACAGACATGAAAAAGAAACCTGTGGACAGAAACCATGAGCACTGAAGAACTACAATTCACACCTGCATCAACAGGTGAGGTAGTTTAGTTCACTGACTAGAATGAAAGGATTTATTTTACCAGCTGATGACCAAGAAGCTGGAAAACAATTACAAGTGAAGACCTATAGAAGCAGACTGAATTGTTATTGTGGAATTCAGAACTCTTATCCTTGGGCAGATCCTGGGAAGATCAATAATGACAATAGCTATAAAGTAACCCAAACCTGTAACTTTAGAACGAACATCCATGTTTGTGACACTGTGCTGGGTAGTTTAGGCCTATTCCTGTATTTCTAGAGAATGAGGATAATAATAGTGATACCTAGGGCAGTTGTCGGCATTAACTGAACAAAACATGTAATTCCTAGAAGGCTGTTGGACTCATGGAAAGGATTCATAAAATGATAGCTGCTGTGACTACTGTAAGTCTTACGTCCTTACAACAATCTAAGACCACGAACCCTTAAATATCTGAGCTGTGATTTGAACCCAAGTTTATCTGACTTCAAACTCCATGCTCTTTCCGGAATGCCCAGAAGATACAGACATCAATAAATATTAGGCAGTTACTCTTAATGAACCACTGAGTTCTCTGGCATCTAATTGTCAGAAAATGAGTGTACAGATTGTCTCTCACTCACCTCTATCTCTAATATTCTGTCACCTAGATCTATGAAGGAAGGAAAAGGTAAAGAGCAACAGCCAAGAAAAGCCACAAGGTAAGGGACAAACAGCTACCATGAGCAGGAAAAGAGGAAGGGGGAGATGAGATTGAGTATGACTGCTAGTTTTGAGTGAGTTTAACACTGGAAGGAAATAATCAACACGTTCAAATTTCTGAGCAGAGAAAAGTTGTAGTTATAAATGATTAAAAGACCCAGTAGGCAGATTCTTTCCCTGATTTCTTGGTAGAAACACTAGGGAGGGGGCTAAAAATTGAAGTTGAAAATTTTCTTATAAGCTGTTTCTATATAATCTGTATATTATGTAGTTCTGCCACCATTAATTTGGAATGGGGATTGTGAACAGAGAAAAAAATAAAGTCTGTCCTATCCCTCCATAACTCATCCTGGGTTATTCCCACATGTCCCAAGAACTCATATCACATTCCTTCAGTTTTAACTGAATTCATATGCACAGAAACATAAAAAGCTTACTGAGAGAGTGGCCTCTTTTCTGTTGTTGTAGGTGTCCAAATATTCTTGCAGTTCTAAAACACTGAACTTGAGCTTGTCTAGAAGTCCACAAGAAAGGAGCTAAAGACAGAAAATAATTGGTATTAAGACATTCAGGGAGATACCAACACAATGGCACATCTACACAGATGGAGAAGCACATTTATAAATACTGGAAAGGGGGAGTGAATGCCATCCATTTTACTAGACTCTATGATTTTGCTCTATTATCAGTTGCAATTACAATTGAACACTAGCTTGTGAATCTAAGTCTCCTAGGACTTATACAGTATAAGGCATATGAGTATAGGCAAAGAAGCCTAAGTATTCCACAGAAGCTCACACATGTATTACATACATTTTTTTGCATGAACTCTACTGTTGTCATGCAGTGATGTTCCAGGTGGTATGGAGAAAGACTTTAAAAGAGACTCACACTAATTTTATGTTTATTTTAAACCATTTAAGGGAGAATAATTTATCACTGTATTTCTTGCTGTGGGGCAACCAACCATAATTCAGTTCTTGGAAAGACTGACTGTGCAGAGACTTTATGAACCTAGTTATTCAGCCAGTATGACTGTTCTATGACATGATATTTAAGAAAGGTAATAAATAGATAATGCTGCCCACAAAGCGCTTGTCAGTCTTGTAGCCATGAAGTCATGAGTCAGCAGTTTGCCAGAGACTTTCAATCATCCTTTAAACTTACTGGTCATGGTTGGGGATGGGGGAATACAGAGAGTAATGAGTCTCTCAGACTTGGGGATAAGAAAAGTGATGAGATGTTGGCTCTGGAGACCCATCTGGCTGGGCAATCTGGCCTGGTCAGCTCTGGGGTTGAAGGGTATTCAACCACATGCACAGCTACCAGAGTTAGAGTCATCAGAGAGGTGCAGAGCATGGAGACAGCATGAAGGTGGGTCTCTTCTCCCACTCTCTGAGGTTGCTCTGCCTTGGCCTGTGCTGGCAATCCCCACTAAGTACCCTGTAGCACCAGGGCCTCTGGGAGTCCTAGCACACAGCACAGAGCTGCCTGCAAAACTGAGAGGTCTTTAAAACAACTTTCTCTAAACCTGCTGCCACAGCATGGGTTACTACTAGAATACTCACAGTCTCTGCATCTACAAATAGTGTTGGACATTCAGAGCAGTTGGTGAGCATCTGGGAAGAACTGACAAATTTGGATCCAATACCCCGGAGGTTATCTCCAAGGTAACTGGCTGCGTCACAGGTCAGGAAGCAGAACCTCTTCTGAATATTCTGCAAAGTAAGACAGTGATCATTTGCCAAGGCCAAATTCAATTTAAATACTAGAAAAAAACTGTTTTTGTGTAGGGTGGGACTTCTAATATGTTTTTACTTATTATTTAAAAATTAATAATAAAAATTGTATTATATATATGTCATTTTGAAATATACATTGCCTATATTTATATATACATTGTAGAGTGGCTAAATCTAATTAACATATGCATTACCTCTGACTTATGTTTTGTGGTAAGAACACTTAAAATCTACTCTCTCAGCAATTTTTAATTGTTCATGATAGAAAAAGTATTTTTTAAGCCAGGCATGGTGAGCCATGCCTGTAAATCCAGTACTTTGGGAGGCTGAAGTAGGAAGGTTACAAGCTTGAGTCCAGCCTGGGAAACTTAGCAAGACCTTATCTCAAAATAAAATATAGAAAATAAATTCTGTGTTGTAGCTCAGTCCCTGGGTTAAGTCCCCAGTGCCACGCACACACACATACACACACACACACACACACACACACTCACAAAATGTTTTTAAATCTCTATAAACATATCAAATGAGCGAAGTCCTCCGGGAAGGGAGAGGGGAACAGAGTGATGAGGACAGGCTTGGCAAATCCTAATGTCCTAATGTCACAATTGCCTAGGACTGAGGATACCAGAAAGAGCCAGAATGGAGGAAGGTAACCAAAAGCATTTGAGGGCAACATCTTCACAACACTACTCTGAAGAGGTTGAAGACATTTACGCAGGATAGAAGGACCTGTTAAAGTCAGAGGAAACACGGGCGTGTCTGTAGGAGGGACAGGACAATCTTAGAACAAAACAACATGGTCCTTATTAAGTCACAAGCTGTGGCTCTCGTCAGAGCGTCTGTCCTAGGCATGTTCAGTGAACCCCGTACCTTAAACAGAGAGGAGAACACATGAAATGTGTACACCGCACATGAGCCGTCTGAGTCACACATGAGCTGATTGATGTGGCTGCGCCAGGCCTCCTCGGCATCGTCACAGGCTGCGGGCTGAAAGGCAGCAAGGATGGCGGAGAAGAAGGGCGAGGGAGGGGGAGAGGCTCCCCTGTCACCTTCTCCAAAGCTGGAAGACACGAAAATGACTGTTAAGAACTGAGGTCCTCTAGCTGGTTGTAAAATGCCAACTTCGACTGCCTGGCTCAGTCTTCCTTTTGGAGGGTACTCTGGGCCTGGCTCTCATCAGAGGTATCTGATACTCTTTTTTGATTTCTAGGAAATAGAATTTCATCTAGAATTCTGTGACTCCACTATTTCTGATTCCTTCATGCACACTCAGTACCTCTCAAGCACCCAGCAAGCCTCTTGCTCTCCCAGATGCCGTGCCCCCAAGTAAACCTCTGTTCCCACGCTTGAGCACTTCCACTTCTCTTTATTTTTTTGCTATGAAAAATTGTAACACAATTTTGATTCTTCTAATTTTTCCTCTATATTAAGAGAGTATTAATGAATGCATAGTCTAAATGCCCAGAATACAAAGGTAGAGTAAGACAGACAGGAAGGAAAGGAGATAATGAATAAAATAGAATAAAAAGCAAAAAGTCAAATTCTTCTCCAGGCATCATCTCAGCCTTTCCTTTGACAGATATCCTTCACCACAACAGAAGGCCTTTGTCTAGCCACACCACAAACTTTAGTTTATTTTAATTCTTATTTTCAACTTTCAGAAGAGTAATGTTAGGAGCTCCTCTTTCTTCTCTTGAAGTAAATCTGTAATATTATTTATGATATCCAAGATGTTGAATTTATCTGAAGAGTGATAATCTTACCTATTCCTCTTCATATATCTCATTAGTTTCAGAAATAGCCACTAGGCTGAAAGACACTGATTGAAAGGAGAGTAGATATTTAATATATAAACAGCCTCTTGTTGATATCTTTTAACTCAAAATGGAAAGAACATATTTCTAAGCCCTGCCAAATCTTGCTTATCTTCAAAGCTTATAAGGCCCGGACTTCTTCAGCAGGCCTTTCATGCTGCTTTCTGGCTTTATAAATTCTTTTTTTTCCCAGTCAACTTTTTATTTTTTTATTGGTACATTTTAGGTACAAAATACAGTTACATTCATCACTGGGACCTTGTACCCTTACATGATGCATCTTGGTTATTTTTTCCCCATTCCTCTGGCCTTCCTTCACCCTCTCCATCCTTCCCTATTTACAAAGACTTTGCTTCCATTTTTTTCCTTTTTTTTTTTTTTTTTTGGTGTGATAAACTAAAAGTGGCTTAATAAAATTCTTACATGGGCATATTTTGATGGTTCCACAATGAAGCTCTATCTGGAGTTGGATGTTCTAACTCAGTAAGAGTCCACTGTGCTACATACCATTGTGGACTCCTTCATTAGGAAGCCAAGTAGTTTAAGTGTGGCATTGAACTCGAATAAGCATGAAAACAACACGGTGTATCGTGTACACTCATTTTCATCATGGGCTTCCTTACCTTGCAAGGGTAAACTGGTCCAGGCCTTGATTGCCTTTTTCCTCTGTTTCAGTGGTATCTAGACTGACACTGTCACTGCACTCAAAAGCTGCTGGGAGCTCATTGATGGAACTTGAAAGGTCATCCTCATGTACAGTAGTGTCTTCCTCCTCCTGGACAGCTTCAGCCTGGAGAGATGAAAAGAGGAAAGAATTCCCAGTGCATAAGAATATATATATATATACAGGAAATGTGAAGAAAAAATGATGACAGCAATAGAAATCAGGGGCATTTGTTTTCTAGCTATATACACTGTACTGCTAGAATGAGATTCAGAAATTCTCTGAAGTACCATTTCTTCATTATCTTTCTATCATTCTTTTCCACATTTGTCCCCAAAGGGGCTTTCAGTAGATTATGATATTTGAGCCATGCTTATGGAACATATGTGCTAAACTTGAAAAAGTTGGTCCAACCTCTATATTTTACACTGGAAGGGAATGAGGGGCTTCATGTGGGAAAGAGATTTGTCTAATGTCAGATTGATAATCATAGTTGGATGTGGGAAGAGAAACACTGCCTTCAGATTCAGAACTATCTGTAGTGTGCACAAGTGATCCAGAGTCCTTCCCCAATCCAGGTCTTTCCATATTGAAAGTTCTCTAAAATCCACTGACATCTATGCTTTACCTTTGAATACCCCTATTGAACACAGGAGATATGAGTATCTTCTCTCACCTCACCACAACATGTGGATGGAGCAGTTAACTCGAAAGGGCTCTAAGGTAGGCAGAACCGGGATAAGTGAGAAGCAGGAAGGAGACACAGCAAGTAAAAT